ACATTATTAAACATAAAATAAGTCGAGTTCATAATAAAACGAATTGCCAATAAAAATTCATCTCGTGGAATAATACACTCTTTTTCAATAAACCCCCATCTGTTAATTAAACTATCAATAGCCATATCCAATGGTACGTTGGTGAACAATGATGCAACATCTAGTGAAACTAGCTTCACATCACTATCCACACATAAACCATTTAATTTGTTCACTAATTGAAAACTATCAGAAATAGCCGAATCAGGTTTCGGAATTGCACGGTTGCGATGAATAGAGATATGTACATGGACAAAATGTGTGATTTGCTGACTGACCGGGATACTTATACTGTTGTTAAAAAAGATCCGACTAGGAACCTAATTAATCAATTACACGGAATTTTAATGAGATGGAAAACGAAGAATTACATTTCTTCAACAACATATAAATCCTTGAACTGCACGGACGGAGTTTTACCGAGAGCGTATGGTCTGCCGAAGGTGCATAAACCGAATTGCCCTTTACGTGTCATCGTGTCATCTAGGAATACACCTCTTTATTACTTGGCAAAATTTTTACATAAGATAATATATAAGGCAATTCCGAAACCTGATTCGGCTATTTCTGATAGTTTTCAATTAGTGAACAAATTAAATGGTTTATGTGTGGATAGTGATGTGAAGCTAGTTTCACTAGATGTTGCATCATTGTTCACCAACGTACCATTGGATATGGCTATTGATAGTTTAATTAACAGATGGGGGTTTATTGAAAAAGAGTGTATTATTCCACGAGATGAATTTTTATTGGCAATTCGTTTTATTATGAACTCGACTTATTTTATGTTTAATAATGTATGTTATCAACAGACTTTTGGCACACCTATGGGTTTCCCCCTCTCACCGATCATTGCGGATATCACGTTGCAAGATTTGGAGAGTAGAGCGATTGCTGCGATTCCATTGTCATTTCCATTTTATTTTAGATATGTTGACGATATCGCGTTGGCGGCCCCACCCTCCATGCTTAAAATAGTTTTAAACACTTTCAATTCTTTCCATCCTAGATTGCAGTTCACCATGGAGGAGGGGGTTGACAACCGATTGAATTTTTTAGATGTCACCATTATTATAAATAATGGGAACATTGAGTTTGATTTGTTTCATAAGCCGACGTATTCAGGTAGATATTTAAATTTTGAATCGCAGCATCCTCTCTGTCATAAAAAAGGCACCATTATCAGCCTCATAGATAGAGTTTTTTGGCTATCTCATCCGAAATTCCATAAAGGTAACTTTGAGTCTATGATTGGAGTTCTTTTGTCTAATAATTATCCTCTCAATTTGATATTTCATACTTTGCAAGCGCGGTTAAAAAAGTTGTTCTTCCGCTATAATAATAAGTTGCATAACAATAGAGCAAATATATGCAATGACAAGATTCCAACGCAGAAAAAAGTTTCGTACTTTAATATTCCGTATATTAATAATGTATCGAAGAGAATCGAGGACATTACACGTGATTTGGATGTCATTCCATCATATACAGCAATTAACAGTCTCCGTAAATTCATTAAAGTACACAAGGATAAGTTACCAAGGGAACTCCATAATAATGTAGTTTATAAAATTGATTGTATGGATTGTGATGCGTCGTACGTAGGGCAGACGGGTAGATTGTTGAAAACTAGGATGAAAGAACATCGCAACAACATAAAAAGAAACGCGTCACAATTATCAGTCATATCGGAACATAGATTATTGAACCATGAATTTAATTGGGAGGATGTAAAAGTCTTAGACGAGGAGCCTTTTTTAGGTAAACGTTTGATATCCGAAATGATCCACATAAAACGTCAGAGGAATAGTTTAAATTTACATAGCGACACTGATAAATTAAATGAGAATCTTGATCTGTTAATAGAAAAATTTACCAAAATCTAGCTTTGTGATTTTACATAGCCGGGTTTTTTTGTTAGACTTTTGACATGAGTGCCGATTAGTTTAGTTGTTTTTATTTTTATTTTTATTTTCATATTTTATTTTTATATTTGTTTTTTGCGTATATATGTATCGACTGTGTCGAGGTAGAATACCGCACAGTCGTTAGAGTGATGTGTCACGTGTAGCATCGTCTTCTCTCTGTTTTTGCTGTCGGGGTGAGTGTTCTTCCCGGTTTTTAATTTTTAATTCTTGTGAATTGTTCTACGTTTAATTTATACCATGTTGATTAGTGTTGGTAAGGGAGTCACGGCTCTGCTTCCTTCCTGACGATGGTCACCGTTAGGGAGACACTCCGACGGCCGGACGGTTTGAATAGGGAGGAGAATGATATTTAATTTATTTGCGGATTGTATGTATACGAGTTTTATAATTTTCTGATTGTACCGATTATCTTCTATTTTTGTTTCTTTGTATTTTGCAGCTACTGAAGAAGACCCGAAGTGGGTCGAAACGTTTAGAATTTAATAAATGAGTTTGATTTGAGATCTCATTTTAATTTATTAATTTTGTGCATGTCATCCGCACAGGCTCCGATTGCCGTCGATATTTTATTTTTATTGTAACACAATAATTCGAGCCGAGATTAACAGTTTTTTTATATTAAAATTATTACATTTCACTATAAATAAAATTAAAAAAAAATATTTAAATCTCCTTTTTATATTCTTTAAATTATTAAAATTATTTATTCTTATCATCAGTTTAACCGCAATTGCTGGCACCTAAATTTATTAATAATATAAATAAAATTATCTATTATAATTTTTATTAAAATAATTATTTTAAATATTAATTAATCATTAAAAATTATTTAAATTTTTAAAATTTTTTTATAAAATTTATTTATATCCAAATTTTATAATTAATTTATAGAAAAAAAATTATTTCCCTACCTTATTCACTAATTTATCATATTTATCTAATTCATTTATTTTTTAATCAATATATAATTTAAATTAATATTAAATTTAATAAACATTTAATTTATATATTGTCTAAAAATAAATATGACATTTCCTACCACATTCACTAATTTATCATATTTATCTAATTCATTTATTTTTTATTTATTTATAAAATACATTTGATAAATAAGTAAAATATTATACAGACAATTTATTACATAAATTTTTTTATAAATATAATAAATTATTTATTATATATATTTTTATTTAATTATTTATATAATAATTATATTTTAATATAAATTACGCACACGGATAAGAAATATTTTACATTTGCTCATCCCATATAAAAATATAAAAGTAATGGAAATTAAATTTTACATTAATTTATACTAGTATTATGAGGTAGTTAATACATGAAAATCATATAAGATGAATTCTGTACATCGATTAGCATAATATGATTACAAGTCAATAAATGATTTTGCTAATATATTATTTTGAATAAAAATTAAAAAATATAAAAACAAAAAGAATGATTAATAAATTTTCTTCATTCTTTGTTTTCTTCTTCTATTAATTATTTTTTCTATTATTTGAATAAAAGATGTATCGTGTGTAATAGATTAAATAGATAGATAATTTATATAAATATATAATTATACGTTTTGAAATTTATATATATATATATATATATATATATATATATATTAATTTCAATATATACATATATATAAATTATTATTTATCTATTACATACGATACGCCTTTTATTCAAATAATAGAAAAATAATAGAAAAAATAATAGAAAAAAACAAAGAATGAATAAAATTTATTTATTTTATTTTTATTTGTTTTTATAAAATTTTTATTCACAATAATATATTAGCAAAATCATTTATTGCGACTTGTAATCATAATATTACGCTAATCGATGTACAGCATTTATCTTATAAGATTTCCATATGTGTTACTACTTTACAATACTATTATAAATAAATGTGAAATTTAATTTGCATTACTTTTATATTTTTATATATAATGAGCAGATGTAAAATATTTCTCATTCGTGTGCGTAATATATTGGTTTTTGTATTTATACTGATTTTACACATATCAAATGCAAGAGAGACAAAGATAGAATGATACTCTCTCCTTGTCAAGCTGTCAGTATGTTACCACGAAAATTTCCCCATGAGTATAGATCTAGTGAGATTTGTTCATCCCAAATATTACATAAAAAGAAGTTACGTAGCTTCGTGAAATATTTTTTAATATATTCTTTATATAATAAAGCAGGGAGACAAAGAGTCAAATTTTGCATTATTGCTCTTAAAAATTTATAATATATTAAATACGATCTCGTGGCTAACCCAACCTTACCCGCTGCTAGCTGCGCATCTTCCCAAGTTATATTATGAATTTTATATTTATCTTTTTTCCAAAAATCGATCTTTGTCTCCCTGCGGACAATCCTACTGATTAAGAATATCGTAAATTTAATAAGATTCATTAAGTATTTTGGCTAATATATGGGATGAACGAATCCGTAATTCCCGGCCGGCCGATAGGCGTCTCCACCATGTCGCCTGTCGACCCTTAATGTATACACACACATGTACAAATAATATCATATTTATAAGAAAACAAGATTAATAATTTATATATTTACAGCAGAATATGATTTATATATAATATTAAAACAGTTACTGATTTTATGTAACAATTTTTATCCTACCATATTTCACAATCATTAATTTTTCATAAATATATATTAAGATAAATTTTTAATCATAAGCTTGATTTTTATATAAATTAGCATATATTTTTATATTGCTTATATTTAATACTAATATTATACATATAAAAATTAATAATTATGGTGCTGTAATCTTTTGCAGCATGAAGATAAAGAATCAACTTTGAACAAACGTTTGAAAAAAATAATATCAAACTTAATTATATAATATTGCAGTAAAATACTGAATATTGATTAATTGCTCTATTCTGAATTACACACACAACTGTCCTTTAAATTGAATTTTTTCTCTTGCAACGTTTTTCCGCTATGCTAAATGTTGTGACTATGCATAGAGTGAGAAAATGAGCATAAAACAGAACAATTTATATTTATTATTAATAGCACATGCATGTGCTATTAGAATAGAATAAGAGTATATATAAATATAACAAAACTAAATTTCCATGATTCAAAGTAGAGAAGTTAAATATCGAAATAGTGTTAATTATTTAACAATATTAAATAACATATCGAGGCGGATTTATAAAATGAAGGTCATTATATACTACAGAATCATCTACATCAGTGTGACCTAATGTTGAATGCTCTTTACGAATACCTCCAAAAACTATTAATTCTCCTTTTCCAACTACAAGAGAATACAAAATTCTTTCATCAGGTCCTGAATGATCGTCTTGTTTTAAAGGGATCCATGAAGCATTGCACTCATCGGAAAGAACATTACTAATATCTAACACAAATATAGATAATGTGCTTTCGGCTTTTTAAATACTTTCATTAATTGTGCTTTCTTATTTTCTCTCCGAATTTTCTCTTCCATTCTTCTTAATGATTCCAATTGACGTTGTCTATCTGTATTTGAATTACTACGCAGAGGTTGATCGCGAAATGCAGCCATGCTTAGAGTATTATCACTGTAAAATGGTATCGTTTTTGAGATATTGGCTGTATGCGATGAAGTATGTGCATTTTGTGAATGTGATTTGGAGAATGCTCCATGTCGTCCATTTATATTTTCATCTCTATCTATGGCAGACAAATTTCCCTGCCTAAAACAAATAGTGATTAATAATAATAATGAAATTGTTAAGCGTCATTTGCATATATCTTCACAAAATATTGTTATAATTATCATTGTATCAAACCTTTCATGCAAGAGATTTGACTCGCACAAACGTGGTGATGTACTTCTTTGACAAGCAACCTTTCTCAATGAAATACTCATATCACTTGGTTTGGTTTGACGTCTATTTTTACTAAGTACAATAATATAATTCCCCACCTAGATAAATAATAGCATTATAATAATTGATCTAACAACATGTAGAAAATATCCAATTATAATCAATGGTATCAAATTTCTTCAAAACTAAGTTGGATTTGATATCTTTCTTTTTATTTTCAAGAAGATGATATTATCAAAATACTTTACTATTAAATAGGGAAATAGGGTTTCAATATCATCTACGCTTGTTTAAATAAAATTATATGTAATTTTTGATAGATTGATCTTTTAAATCATTCTATTATTTAAAACAATACTACTTAAAACAATTAAGATAAAGGATAAAAAATACATTTATATGAGACATTTTAATATATTACGTACACTCACACATTATATAAAAATTAGAAAAATAAATATTTTATTTTAATATATTACCTTACAAGCTTGATGACACCAAATACGTGTTGGTGCCCATTCTGTATTGTGCATATTAACTTTTTCCATGTCCAAGTTATATCTTCCATTGTTAATAACCAAGCATCATTCATAGCAGCATTCGGTCCTGTGCAACCTCCTGTCCAATTTCAAACATATAATGATTAATTGTTTTGATATTAATGAGTGAAAATTTTAATGTATTAAATATTACTTATATATATAAAATATAAAAAAAATTATATATATAATGTACATGTGTGCAATAGAATATTTATTTTTAAAAATAATATAAAAAGAATGTGTGTATATATATATATGTGTATACATTCTTTTGTACACACATGTAATTTTTTACATCTTCTTTAACTAAATATTATATCAAATATATATCATTTATCAATATAATTATAGTTATATATTTTCTCTAAAGTATGTATACTAAATTAAACTAATAATAAAAAAGACAATTGATTTAATACAGAACATAAATCTTATAAGCAATCAAGAATGTCTTACCAAGCACAAGTAGATGCTTTCTTCCAAGTTCAATTTGTGACTGTCCATAACGTGGTTGTGGTTTCAAATTTGATGTAGTTTGTTTGTGCCAATAATATGAGTCCAAATTTAAGCACCATACATCATTAGAACTATTATAAAATATTAAAAATAACGCTATAAATACATATTATTGTAATTTTATGTCCAATATTTGTAATTTTACAAAATTATATATTTGCACCTGTATCCATTACAAACTCCACCAAAGACAACCATTAGATTCCCGTGTATTGTTGCAGAATGTGCAGATGTTGGTGGTGGAGTTTCTAATGTATTTATAGCAGTCCACTTATTTGATTCTATAGAGTATATGTGTAATTCATTGAATAATTTCCATTGCTGAAAAATATATTATACTATTATATCTTTTTGTATATTTTATATACACATATTTTATTTCAGAATTTAATTATTTTTATTGGTATTCCTTTTTAGTCAAAATATAGGCACTAATAGAGAAAGATAATTTGTAATAATTCATAAAACAAATAAATTTCAAATAATATTGTAATTTGGCTGTTTATATCTTCTAAATTATTATGTTAATTATATATATATATATATATATATATATATATATATAAAATATAAAATTGAGATATATTTTATAAAGTTTTCATAAGATTTTAACACAAATTTTATTTAAATTAAAAGTTGCTTTATATGTATCTAAAACCAAGTAAACTATAAACTTTTAGTACTGGTAGTTTATATTGGAACACAGCCATTATACATAATATGAAATATGAAATTGTCTTTTTGTTAGATATTTACCTGATGTAAAGGATATGGTGATGGATGAGACCAACCTCCAAATAAAATTAAACTTTTCTTATAATAGAGCATAGTGGCACAAGCTTTAGGCGATGGATAATTACCCATAGTAATTGGCCTGACCCAGGTTCTTGTGCCTAAATCTAACTGCCATAAATCATTGAATGTCGTCCATGTAGCTGTGCAACCACCAAATACGTACATAGAATTTTATATATACATGCGGAATGTGAATGTCTCTTTCCAATGGTGAGTGTCCAGTGTGTAGATGGTAATGAATTCCACAGCAAAGATCCAAAAGCAACAGACTTTTGAAAATGTGCTTCATTATGTTCCATTACAATCTAATTAGAAAGAGATATATACATAATATTGATATATTAAATTTATAGTCATGTTAACATTTTTATATTTAAGTAACATATATTAAATATTATAGGATTAGTAAAATAAATGCATACTTTTGGTAGCACGATACCATCTTTTACCAAACAAGCTGCATTCCTGGAGATCTCTATACGGGGGTAATAAGCTCAGAATGT